TTACTATTTATTGTTATTTTATTTTAACCCTCTATTGTTGTCCTTATTTTGCTTCTCTCTTTCTCTCTCTCTCTCTCTCTCTCTCACACGCTTGCTCGCTTGCTTGTTATTTTACAAAATTATACATGTACGAATATGTGCGTGATGCATTTTTTTACGCGTAAACATATACGATAAAATATCTCTAACATAAAACCTGTAAAATGAAGGAACAATTTTTATGTCAGTTTTTCCGAAGTTTTCATCTAAATAAAATCCAAGGACTTGCATGGTCAGTCGTCCAAACGATCGCGATACGCGATTCTCGCGTGATCGCGCTAACCGGAATGACGTAACTCAGAATGACCTACTAACCTTCCTTGACCATTACGATACGCCGTCACCTTCTCCGAGATCGGATGGAATGATAAGCTGCCCTGTATTTTAGCTCGTCGTTCGACTTTGAAGAAAACTTTTATACGATTGTGGACAGCTTCATCTTTTAAAGGAAAGAGGGAGAAAAAAGAGAGAAAACAAAAGCATAGTAATAAAAATAAAAAAATAAGAAATGAAATAATAACAATGCGACAATAATAATGCCATAGCCATGCTTCAAAGCAGACATTGAAAGATAGATTGTCTGCACCAATTTCTAAATCCGTATATATTAAAAAATCGATCGATATTAATAGTAGCAAGAAATTTTATGTATCTAGTAAATTGCATATTCAACAAATTTTATTGATCTTTTTATAAATTTTAAACCAAATCTTAATTACGACTTTCCGTAATGTTTTCGCTAAAGAGAAATTGACCTTAAATTCAAAGAAAGTGTGCGCAACGAGAAAGAAGGAGACCAAACTTGTTTTTCATTTTTTTCTTTTAAAGTATTGATAAATAAAAACTGAAGATACGAAAATGATCTATTTTCCAGTCTGTGGGGAAGCGGAATGCGTTCGGTTAGTTCTGGCGGCCGGTGCACGACCCTCTACCCCCGATTTACGTGGCGGGTCTCCCCTTCACTACGCCGCCCAATGTTGCGGCGCAGCCGCCACGGCCGAACTCGCTGTTCCAAAGAAGGTCGGACTGCAAGTTTTGCAAACTCTTCTCGAATTCGGCGCGGATGTAAACGCGAAAGACGAAGACGGACGACAACCAATTTTATGGGCGGCGAGCGCGGGTAGCGTGGAGGCTGTATTGGCTCTAGCAAGGTAAACGATTACCATCCAAATCATTTTATTATTTCAACAAGCGTCAGCCTCTTTAAGATCTATCTAGACTAGATATCTCTAAATAGAGATTGGGGAAAAAAAATTAGAAATGAATATTGGGCTTGTTTCAATCTCTGATAAATCCCTAAATGAAAAAACGACGCGGCAAAAGAAAATTAAGAAAGATTCGTTATAATTTTTTCTTTTCGTCATCAGATATCTGATTGTGTGAATTGTTGTAGAATCGCTATGTTGCTAAAAATAGTGATTGGTAATAAAAAAAAATTGAATTTGAATTTATTTCATATATAGAAATTTAACAACCGAGATCCCCCGCTTGCCGAGGAATTGACTTGAGGATTCTTCTTGTTAATTTTCTCTTGTTAATTCAGAGCCGGAGGATCGGCAGCCGCGGGTAGTTCGGACAAAGACGGACTGACCGCCCTTCATTGCGCAGCCTCGCGAGGCCACGCGAGATGCGTGGAAGTACTCGTCAATTTGTGCGGCTCTCACCCAGACTACGTGGACGACAACGGTTGTTCCGCGTTACATTACGCTGCCACTTTAGGTCACGCAGATGCTACCGCTCTTATTCTGAAACTCGGGGCCGATCCTAATCGCCAGGATCGCAAGGGTAGAACGTAAGACCGCAAAGTTCTATCTTAATCACAATTCTTAATCGATCTTCTCGATAATTCCAATTTCTATCTTTCTCAAGTTTTTTTTTATAATTGATATTTTACCGCGTATACATATTGGATATCGATATATCCAATTAGATTTCAACCCTGAATGGAAGAGGTGAAAATTTTCAAAAAAGACTCCGATGCCTTTCAGACCGGCGCTTTGTGCCGCGGCCAAGGGCCAGTTAGAAACTTTGAAGATTCTGACTCAGCACGGTGGTTCGCTTCACGCCAAAACTGTGCGAGGCACAGGGATCGGGCACGAGGCCGTTGCTTCCGGTAGAATCGAGTTGATAAAATGGCTAGCGAAAAAGAGACCGAGCACGTTGGACGTCGCTACGCACGACGGCAAGACACCCTTGCACGTAGCGGCTTTGCACGGTCATTTGGATGCGTGCAAAATTCTCTTGGACCATGGTGCAAGAATCAACGCTGTTCTCAGGACCAGCAAGGGCAACTCGATGACCGCGTTGGACGCAGCTCTCTACAGAGGACACAGAGACTGTGCGAAACTGATTCAGATGCACGGCGGTACTACGGCGCAACAATTGAGGACGCATAAGACCGCACCGAACAAAGGTCAGATTAGGTATATGCATAGCGCATAGACATTTGCTAAATCCGGCTTGAGAAGAACCGAATACTGATATAACGATAAATGTTTACGACGCAGATCGTATACGACGCGTTCTTTAACGCGTTGAAAATTTTCCACCATTCAAGAATTAATATCTCGAATACGTTGTAAATATGTCTACTGATACTACGGCAAAATAAATATCATTAAAATAACTTTAGTTTTTACAGCAAAGGTCCGAATAAAGCATGATGAGAGTAGCACCGCGAGCGATAGTAGCTCCTGTAGACAAGGTCGAAGACACAAGCATCCCGAACTCTATTACGAGGAACGGTGGATAGAAAGGAGAACGCGGCGAAAAGGTAATCTGAGAAAGATGACTCGCCGGGACAGTCGGAGTTTTAGCGAGGAAGAAGTGCGCATGTCGAAGACATCCTCGAGAAAGGACGAGAGGAGAGCTCGAAGCGAATCCGCGCGGTAAAACGGATATTCCTTTATTAATGCAATGCAATACGAAAGACGTTCGAAATACAAATGAAGAAGTCTATGAGTCTAAAAGAGATCCGGTTTAAATATGTAAATAATAAGTAAAGGCAGAGATAAAAAAAAATTGCACCTTTTTCTAAACGCCTTCCGTATTGCCTGCAAATTGCATTGCCACGTAATATATTCCAATTTTGCTTAAATCGCAATGAAATCAGTAGATATGATGATAATGGCATTAATGAGCACAATCTACGAAAAAAACGAAGCGAAAGAATATCGACAAAACACAAACATAAATATTCAGATCCGTCGTCCGAATCGGATAGTTGCGATTATTCTTATGACGATGAGAATGAAGCGTCTAAATATCGGCAGCACGCAAAAAAGCAACAAGAAAAGGGCAAAAGTAATTCCAATGAAACTGAAGCAAAAAATTCGAAGAAAGAGGACGATGACGATCGAAGTGTAAGTGACGACAGTTTAGAAGTGATTGTGGTAAAAAGATCACTGGAAAAAAAATGTGAAAAGGTAGTGTCCGGAGGAAGATCGAAGACACCGAGAGAATGCACAAAGGAGACAAAACTGACTAAAACGCACAAACGTAGCTCCAAGAAATCGAGATCCAGTAAATCAAGAATGTCCGATAAAGATGAGACTGTAAATCGAGATAAATCAGCGGAAAAGGAGGAAAAAAATGTCGTAATAAGAGAACCACCGGCGCATGCTTCGATGACTGAAGAGGAAGAGGGCGGTGAGAGAATAATAGAGTCTCGATATCGAAAGGACGCAACAGATAGCACTAGTCAAGAGACCGTGGAACGAGTGATCGTTACAGCGATGGTTCACAAAGATCAGTTGCCTGACACCCCGAAGTCTACGCAGGAAATTGCAAAGGAAACAAGCACCGATAGCGTTTTGAAGAAAAAGGCAACGGTAACGGAGGAAATTTCCAAAGATATAAGTTCTTCCGATAAAAGCAAGACATTATCGCCCGATAAAAGCAAGACATTATCGCACAAAATTAAAACGCAAGAAATTTCGCAAATCAGTGGAGAGGTTCAAGATGAAAGGGATGAAAAGGACAAAATAACGGTGCCCGTCGGCACAAAATCTGCGGGAGAAGACATGGACGAGAGGACGCAAGGTAAGAATTTGAAAATAATGCAAACCTTTTATTAAAGTAAAATAAATAAATATTTCGCTGCAGGATTTTTACAAGAGATATGATGTAACAATAATGATTATTATCAGAAGTGGCTACTATCTTCTTTTTAGGCAGATTAAATATATCCGTAGATGTAACAGCGAGCGACGGTACATTGCGTGAAGAGCAAGAAACAATCGAAGATAATACACTCGCCAAGTCATCCGATTTAAACATTTCCGAATCCAAGTCTACTGAAGATCTCATCGACGAAAAGGAAAAGATTTTAAGAACGGAGATGGGAAAGCGGAAGTTTTAAAGATGACGGAGATTCGAGTTTAGTAAAACATATCGTGGTTTCGGGTGAAGAAAAAACATTAGTTTCTGAAGACTCGAAACAAGACGGGGAAAACTGCTACGAAGAAAATTTTATCAGACAATGGAGAATCGAAGGTATCGTCTTCGAGACAATCCGACGCACATAAAGATATAAATGGTTCAAAAGATGACGGCGAAGGTGCACAAATAACTTATGGGGAAAGAGATAAGATTTCGACAAAGCAGATGGAAACTGTCACGAAGGAAAATTTGGCCAAAGATGCCGAATCGAGAGACAAAGATTTGAACAAAGGCGACGATATTGAATCTTCGCAAAAAATACAGACGGATGAAAAACAAAAAACGGAAACGCAAGCGGTCACCGAACGATCGACAGACGATGAAAAGGATGATTTGGATGATTCCGCGCGTGGAAAATCCGCAGATTTATCTTCAACGGAATCCAGAGTGTCGATTTTAAACGCGGAAGAAACTCTTTCTCCAGAAAAGACGAGTTTGCCACATGATAAAGAAGAGCGCGTTAAAAAAGATGATAAAGACCAACCAGAAACTGAAACAGGTAAATCACCGAAATATTTCAGAACCCAGAAATATTCGGAAAATTAATGTAGTCTTGTATGAAGAGAGAGAAATATTATATCTTCAAGTTTCAATTTAAGTTTCTAGCTAGTGTTTAAAGTATCACTTGTGAAAAGAATTCTTTTAAACAGATTTTTCTAAAATTAGAATACAACTAAAATATTGATTGTAATATTGATGCAATATTTCACTGTAATTTAATAATCATTACTTATTTACACAAATTGTAAGGTTTCTCCTTTTTGATATGAAAGAATTATTTCTAATGAAATTTATAACACTACTTATCGATACGATAACATTTCGTATTAGTTTTCAATAAGTTAAGATTGATCTAATAGACAAAGGTTTCAGGAGACAAAGATTTGCGCTACATCGACGATAGCTCTTCGAGTTCTCCAAAGCACTCGAGATTGGCGAAAACGAAACATTCGAGACCGTCCACAGGAAGGAACGCGAGAACAGGAAAAGCTTGTTCGAAGAGACATCTGTTTGAAAGTTCCGAGGATCGTTCTTCGCGTCAAAGTGCGATAATCGCGGTGTTAGACAGTAGTCCAGAATGGGATGAGGACGAAGCGGTCGAGAAAGAAATTAGGGAAGCTCTCGGAGAGGATATGGAGCAGGAGACGGAGCACGAAGAAGAGGATAACGAAATTGGCGTTATGAGAGTTTTACCAAGTACAAGTGAGGAAGAGACTCCTAGTACAGCTTTGGGTGTATCTAGAACTTCAGGAATCGACTCTTTGCCTCAGGTAACTAATACATTTTTTTAACTTTTATATTTCACATAGATCTAATATTCTTAATTTAATCTCCTTCAAATACGTATCATATATATTTAGCACTGAGAAATTTTTAAGAGTAGTAATCACGTGATCGATAGAAATATCGTACAATTTTATTTATAATTTTACGAATGTGATGTGTATGTATATATATATATCTTTAAAATTAATTTATATTTAGATACTGTGTCGATCAGAATATTATTATCGTTATAGGTACAATCAACAACTAGCAACCGCTTAGTTGCCAGGACGGAGACTTCCGAAGGACATCGAGAACGACTGTGGAAAAAGCATCGTCGCGATAGCGGAGGTAGAGACAGCGGGATAGAACCGAGTCCGAGAGTATCGAGAATTCCACGAAGGCGAAATGTGAGGTGTTGTCCGAACACTGCGAAACAACAAGCCCTCAATATGGAGACCATTACCAGGGACGTGCAAATTAGTTTGCGTCGTTATCACCTCGAGAGGAAGATCTTTTTTCAATTGATGGAGCTGAAGAGATTGCAGATTCGTCACGGCAGAGCGAACGAGCATGTCTTGGTAAAAAGGCAGGTGAGACTCTTTCAGAAGCACCGTTAAGAGTCTAATCCCAATCTGGCATATTTTTAAATCACAAAAAAAAAATTAAATGTCACTACCAATATTATCGCCGATGTATCTCGCAAAATTTGCAGAAATGATCTTTTTCAGGTGGACGCTTTTCATAAATCGGGAATGTCTGGACCTGCTCTTGGAGTTGCGAAATATGATCGATCATTAACGTTCAGGTTACAATCACATTCGATAATCTTTTTTTTGCATAGAGCACGTAATAATAATTTATAATAATAATTATCGCCGTTTAATTCTTACATTCTTAACGCTTACGAAACGCTTGTCATTCTAGACAATTCGAAGCATTCTTATACGAGCAATTAAGGAGACTGCAGGGAAGACCGACCACTCCAGACTTTTGTACCGAAGCTAAGCAGTGCACGCAGAAGACTCATCGTTGCCATCACGCAACTAGCGCTTATACTTCTATTCCAGTGTATACCTATCGTACGTTAACATGTTATCGCGTCTAATATCACAACACGTATCACTTTCAAATTTATTTAATCTTTCTTAATTTATAATTATAAATTTCACCTATGTTTGTTAAATTATTCAAATAACGGATTGAAGAAAATTTTTATTTTATTGTACCGTTTCTTTATAAATTATGTCACTGAAACGGATTATTTTTAATCTCTAACATCTCATCTATATGTATGTAGAGCCCGAAAAGAGTCAGTTTCTGTAGTGTGATTGTAGATTATAATTGTAGTAGGTGGAGGCGTCCCAGATCGAGCGGATCACCTTCCGAAAATAGAAAGTCGCGGCAAAGGACAAATGACGGTAACATTATAAAAAAAACTCAGTAGTTGTTGTAATAAATAGAAAAATAGTACATATTTTTGAAAACTTTAATTTTAAATATTGCGATTAAAATAAATGTCTTGCAATTAATCTCTGACGCGAAAGCTACGTTTTGCTTGTCCTATTTATCATTCTTTTTTTTTAGGTGGAAGTGACACACGGAGAGGAAAAACAAGTGATCGCTCTTCCGACTGAGAAAATGGATCGTACCAAAAGATATTTCGTTACATTTACCGTAAGAGGTGAAACGCAAGACGTCGAGAAACCTAAATCATCCTGCGGAATACAAAGAAATGCAAAAAGTGTGTAATATTTCGGATTTTTCTTCATCGATATTTTTTTTTATAGAAACTCGCTTATTAATTTAAATTTATTAAAAGATATAAAAATCCAAAGCATAGATGACGAGCATTATTCTGCATTATTTCACATAGACTTTCGTTTAAAAAAGACATTACTTTAGACTTTATATAGTACGTTACCATAGATTTAATATTTTATAAAAAATATTGGGTATTATTGTTGTATTGCTTTCTTCTTTTATAAAAAAATATTTTATATATTTATTACTATTATCTTAATATTATTTATTACAAAAAGATTTGATATCATATATTTTCTTTTTAAATTCAATATATTCTTTCTAAAATAAATTTGCTTCTCGCACAAAAGTATAATTTAAGAAATATATCAAAACTGCCAGATGAGATAAAATTTGTGGATCAATTAAACAGAGATGTGCATGTTAATTTGTATAGCGTTATTTGTACATATACTCATATGAGTAGTAACGGTTATAATTTCGTACCTGAATAATCGTAGCTTGTAAATCTTCTGTAATTGACTTATCGAGAAAGAAATGTGATTCGAAAGAGAAATTTTATTAAATACTGCGCTTATCTTAAAATTTAATATTTAAATAATAAAAGAGAAACCTTTTGCCATGATATACAAAGTTAAAAATGATAAACGATTTATTTAATAGAATACATATCCGACTCTATTCTGTGTGTTCCCTAGAAATTAAAAATAATATTCTATATAAAAACGTTAATAAATCAAAATTAATTATGCTACAATATGTTTTCTACTATATATCTACCCTTAAAAATTTTCTACTATATATCTTACCCTTAAAAATATGTAAATATAGGAATGTTAAATATAATTTATTTTTCTACATCAAGATTTTATAATTTAGATTCTATTTGCTGCGATGTGAAAGCGCGGTTTAACTTTAACGATTTATATACTTATAAATCTTTCTATGGATTATTTACATTTAAAATAAAATGATTATCAATTATAGAATTATATATAGATTATTCGTATGTAATTAAATACATTTGAAAATTTGATACTTTCTCAATTGCTCAATTTTGTTTCTGGTTTACACGCAAAAAGAATCAATCAAATTAGCGAAAGGGATATGCAGCAGGGGCTGAAAGCATTGGCTCAAAGGATTATCGATCGGTTGGTTGACGTGGTTTTAGGCAAAACAATAGTCGCGTGTGCAGTGAAAATTCGTTTTCTCGTCAAGAATCTAGTATCATTATCAGAGAAGCCGCTTCGGCAAAGTGCCGTGTCAACAATGTCGACGTCCCGAGATAAATTCGCAACAATCGCAACGATGTTTGCCAAAATGCAGCACGAATATTTCATCCGTAGTGTGAAATTTCTGTGAGAAGCTTGCGAATGGACAAATGGCTTCAAGATAGGAAGCTCTGGCTATTCGGTAGCACGCTACCATTGCTACCAAGGAGGTAAATTGTCAGTAGCGAAGTTAAATATGCGCAAAATATACGTTGCTTAAATTAATCTGAAAATTATCTGTAATGTATTTTATTGTATTATTTTACTTCATTATTTTACAAAAATCTACTCTAACGTCCCATTCTACACACTTCTCTACACTGAGAAAAAAATGCTATTGAACAAAATTATTTCCAATTAGACTAATGCTGATTCAACAGCATTTTTTTCTCAGTGTAGAGATGCTTAAACATAGAATTTCGACTTTTTGATATTTACTTTATTGATAATCAGACGAAAGCCGATTAGCCAAAGTCCAAAAAGTCCTTTCAAAGTTGAAAAAAAATTGTAATCATTATAAATTATTAATGTCCTCTGATATACGCAAAGTTTATATCAGACGGTTTATTAATATAAAAATTTTCTTATGTAGATTACGTAGTAGCGATAACCTGTTTTAAACGTTAATTATTTAAAACATTTATGAAGATGATAATTAGTAACTAATTTTTTAAAGGAACCTCTGCTGCAATTATATATAAACGTTTATATATTATCAAATTGATTATTTACAATTAATGTACTTCTCATAGCTTTCGGTTAAAATAACATTTTCACGAAATTTTTTCACTTATCCCTGTGTATTTTCATTTTCACCGAACTGAGTTACATATATGGGAAAATTTTCAATACATCACATCGCTATCGTGTCAGAACACACCTACGTATGTTATTACCGACGTAGAACGTTGATAAAATATTAAAAATAAAAAAGGTAAATCTGAGAGTAGGTTAAACGTCGCGATTACAAATAATGACTGATATTTATATTACTAATCATTTATTATAATCACGGAGAACGTGCACATAGAACGAACATCATCCGGAAGTATCGCAATGCTCATATTTTCATGTCTAGCAATTGCGCAACACTCACTATAGCGTCCGTCCAACAGTTGGAACATTTTGACCTCTTTCACGGTCAGAATGTATAGACGTACACGAGGTAAATATCGATTGTCAATAATCAAGAGTTCAACAATAACGTAAAACCGCCGCTTTCTTCAACGTATTAGTAGTGTCCGGTATGTTCGCCGACGAGGGTGAGCTGACAAGAATATTCCATGAACTCTATTCTTGGATTTCTGTACGTACTAATTGCTTTCACGTTTTTTCCTCCTGAAAACGTTAAACATTTGTACTCATCAAATGTGTCGACGACGAATTGTCGCGCCAGACTTTTTAATCAAATTTTCAGACTGAAAAATCGAAAAATGGTTGTAAGAAAGTGATTATTCGTCTCTTTTTCATCGTGTTTAATTTATTATTTTGCAACATATAAAATAACTTTGGATTTTAATCCACAAACATTGAAGTTATAATTTTTTTTTTATAAAAGTTATAAGATAAATTTGTGAATACAAAATTTGTAAAGGAAACTCATCAAAAGCTAACATTACATTTTTTTTTAGACAAAGATCTTTTTAAATACACAAATAAAATTATTTTATTCGTTATAAATAATGTTGAATGAGTAATCTCTTATCTAACTTTAATGTCTAAATTAAATTAAGCTGTGCTTTTCCTCAAACGTATTATATATTTTATATAAATGAGATAATTTTTTTTAAATATGAAATATTACATTTCCACTTTTCTCTAAAATATTGTATAAATTTTGTATAAAAAAGATAAATGAATACTATATTATTCCATTTTTATTTCTACTTTAAATATTTTGTATAATATCCAGAATGAAATATATATATTTTTTTTAATGCAAAATTAATGTAAGGTCATAGAAAATATTTACACAACGATTTACACAACGTATTAATGTGAGATCTCTCTTAAAAAACAAAAATAGTACGTTTCAATTAAATGAAGATACTTTTTATTATAATTGTGTAATATTAAAGTTTGTGAACATTTGTGAACTTGGCTACTTAACAAATTCGTGTTTAACAATTTTTTTATATTCATCTCGTATCCTTCATAACCTAGCCAAATCTAATCGAAGTCCTTTATCCCGTGTTTGTCGCGTCACACATATCCGAATGCAACAATTAACTTTCAAGAGTGATATATATTTGTTCACCTTGTTGGAAATTATGTCACGTACACGCGCGATCGTATCGATATGATGAATGACGTGAGGTTTGCAAATTATCGACAATGCATACCACAGTGGTAAGAAACTTTTTGACTCGACAAAAAACTCCTCAGATTCGACGCCAGTAATTATAAAAGTTTATACGTTCGACGTTTAGCTGGAATAAAATACAATGCAATCCGTTTGGTTTGTTGCTCGAGGAAATGATATGATTTGTACCGAATCAATATCGCATTCAGTGTCGAGTGTTAAATGTTAAAGAGCGCTTATTTCATCGAGCAATTCCCTATTATTTTTCATGGAATTCCTTTAGTTCCTTGCAATCTCTCGATTTCTACACGACGATATTACGTATGATTATTTCATCTTGATTACCTTACCGCGGACTACCGTTCGATTGGCGATCGCAATACCGCAATCGGTGCATTACGAATCTCGAAACATTGGTGTATCGCGCTAGAACGTCGTTCCACTTGCCGATTATTATTTCGGTTCGTTATCGCGATCGCAAGATGACCAGCATTCCGCCCACGCCTGCGCTAAACGTGAATTCGAATAAAGCAAAACTCGTGGGGTAGCTTGACCCTTGGTCATCCGTCGGAATAGAAACTAGTCTGGCCGGTACCGTACATCGCGTACATACCATGCTCTTTACGCAACAATTGACATCGCTGCCATGCCTTGCCAAATATAAAAAGTGGGTATTTAAAAACTGGACGATTTAAAAACTGGACGGACGGATCGATTTGACGCCCTTGCGTTTTTTTGCAAAGATAGACAATTACGCGAGACTTTTGCGTCAATTTGAATTTCGCTCGTAGCGAAAGCTAGTTTAGTAAACTACCTAAACAATTTTCTATTGTAATCTGAGGGAGTTGAGTTTCGAATTTCATTGAGATGCATTAATGACATTGAAAAAAAAAAAAACAATTCTGCACAGGTCTCGGGCGCCGAGCAAAGCCATGGAGCGTTACGAACGTCTTGCGCGTCTCGGCGAGGGTAGCTATGGCGTCGTCTTCCAATGTAGGGACCGGCAAACTGGGAAATTGGTGGCTGTAAAGAAGTTTCAGCAGACCGAGGATGATCCCTTGATACGTAAGATCGCGCTACGGGAGATACGTCTCTTGAAGGTCAGTTTCCTCTCACTTCTCCCGCCAATTAAACGCATTAGTTTAATTTTTTTTTTTTTTTCAAACCGAATAACGTGTTTCAAAAATCCGTAATGATTGGATCCGGCAAAGCATTTTGCACATGTATGATCTCTATTATAAATACAAAAAAAAAAAGAGGATTGTAAGGACCGCTAATATAGCTTCCGAAGTTTTTCGATTCGATCGATCTGCGGAATAACTAAGTTTGCCGAGTAGTCGCATTCTTCGAAGGTGAACGACCTCCGGACATCCGCGACCGTTAGCTTCCATCTAGATAGAGCGATGATGGTGCGATAATTTTGACCTCCTGGAAGCTTTAATATGAATATTAGATACTCATACATAAGTTCTTCCATAAGTTTTTCATGTCCGATCTTTATCTTCAAATCAATTCTACATACACGCGCACTATAATCATCGAAATAAACTTTGCAAATAGAATTTAGAGTTGATAAAGTTTCCTCTATCATTTTTCTACCGTTTCTGACCATTTTGCCTTTTCGCCAACGGCAAAATGAAAATCAGGTTCTCCGAATGAGAAGTTTACGTTCTTATTTATACGATAAGAAGCTCACATAGGTGCAGTAATGGCTGCGAGAAGTAGCCAACGGTCAATACCGGGCACCGGTCAATATCTTGGCGTGTTCGTGTTGGGTCTTACCGACCTAACATTATCGTCACAATCACCACCAAATGCATTCGTATGCACATTCAAATAAGCCCCCTTACCGTCCTTACCACGTTTTGACATTTTACTTCAAGGCTATTCTTTGTTCGGTAGACAAGAGTGTCTCTTGAGAATTAACAGTACGCTAAAATTTCCTTGCCGTATTTATTTCACTTCCAAAGCGAAATTATATAAATATTTCAAGATCAGGTTGAAGGTAAAAAAAAAAAAAGAAAAATGCGCGTAAAAATACCGACTATTCCCGATATATTTATACCACAAATTCTTCCATAGAAATAATTGATGTAATCAATTCTAATCGTATAATTAAAATGAAGAATTAACTCTCTCTCTTTCTCTCGATTTAGAATCTCAAGCACCCAAATTTGGTCAATCTCCTAGAAGTCTTCAGACGAAAGAGGAAGTTACATTTGGTATTCGAGTACTGCGAAAACACCCTTCTGAACGAAATGGAAAAGTACCCTAGCGGTTGCCCGGATCTCACAACGAGACAGATTACCTGGCAGATTCTACAAGGCGTCGCCTATTGCCACCGCCTTGGATGCGTTCACAGAGACGTAAAGCCGGAAAACATCCTCATCACAGCCGAAGGCGTAGTAAAATTATGCGATTTTGGATTCGCGCGTATGCTCAGTCCTGGTGAGAACTATACGGAATATGTCGCGACCAGATGGTACAGAGCGCCTGAATTATTGGTAAATATCTAGATGTACATGTGTGAGCAAAGCAGTAACAATCTTGTTAATCGCGCATAGATCGAAGTATGAAAAATTTTTCCTTTTCACCAAATTATGATGGAACTGTAACGGATAATGGATTAATGATTTTATCATGTGTTTTTCGAAGGTCGGAGACACCCAATACGGTACTCCGGTCGATGTATGGGCGATCGGTTGCGTGTTTGCTGAATTAATAAGGGGCGAAGCCTTGTGGCCGGGAAAATCCGACGTGGATCAATTATATTTAATAAGAAGAACGCTGGGCGATCTTTTGCCGAGACACATGGCCATCTTTCAACAGAACGAATTCTTTACCGGTATTACTCTTCCAACACCGCAAACACTTACCCCCCTCGAAGACGCTTTACCGCGTGGAAATGGCAATACTTTACAGGTAACGTCAATAGATTTGCTTTGATTGCATTTAAAACAAAAACGCATACTATAATAAAAAAAATATTAAATATATATATATATATATATATATATATATATATATATATATCTTCAAAGCTATCGATGATTACTGTATAAATCTTATTATAGCTCGATTTTCTGAAGAAATGCTTGGATAAAGACCCAAATGAAAGGTGGACATGCGAACAATTGTTGCGACATTCTTATTTCGATAATTTTCATTTCAAAATGCCGGATGTTGAGACGGAAGAATTTGAAAAACTTAAAAAGCATCGAGAACGTTCCAGGGTAAGTTTAATAATATTAATGCGCATAATATTATATATATTATAGCACGGCAAGAATTTAGAAAATAGCTTAACAATGAACTGTTATTTTGGTCGAACAAAAGAAATTTAAAAATATGAATGTGATAACATTATTATACGTTTATACTTTCAGAATACCAATTATAGTCAAATGGTGTTACCTCAACTACCCAGGGCTGGCCCTTCTGTTCATAGTCAAAGTGAAAATCGGCCTAAGAGCTCCTCACATCAACAAAATTTTGATCATCTACCTACCATAAGGGGTTAATTAAACTCTGTGATTGTATATATATTTTCCTAAGCTTTTTGAGAATATTCATGTTAATTTATAGAATTCTATAAAAATAATTGTTATCTTCTCCTTTAATTTATATTAGCACATTTTTTTCTATAGAATTTTCTTTAGATTTTGATTTATATAAAAAAAGCATAAATGCGCGTGAACAATTCATATGTACATCTCTTATAATAAAAGTTTTATATAAAATATAATAAAAGAAAAAGAATGTTTATTTTAATATATAATATTCTGTACACAATAGGCAGTATTGCCATTTCAAGCGTAATAAATTATTGTGAACTGTAAGATTACTTTGAATCATTATTCCAAAGTTACAAATATCAAACAAACGCCTATAATCAAAGAATAAAATTTCAAAAGAAAAACATTATTTTATTAACAATAAACTAAAAACATGCTCATTACATTATCACGTAGCATATTTCTTATATAATTTGACTAGTGGATGGTCGTGTCTCTCAGATACTGGAACATAATATTGTTGTAGAGTGAACCAACCTATATGAAGTCCTATAATTAACGGTATGAAAACAGTAAAAGTAGGGCTTTTAAAAAATGACTGTTTTATTTTAGGTGGCTGCATATTTTTGTTTCCTTTTTAAGATATCCTTTAATGAAATAACAATTATTAATATTTCTATTTCATTTTTGTTCTATAGCATATTATGTACCTGAAAAATAAAATAGAATAATCAAAACTAAGAAATAATTGTTTGTTTGAATTGATTGTTTATCAAAAATACATTTGTGATATAACAATCTACTTAAAATAACGAATATAGGATTGTTTAACTCTGTAACTTGTAATAAGTTTGTTTTTTTATAGCTAAATTACTACATACTTGATATACAAAATGAAATGGACATATGTTTGGCTTAATGAAAAAGTTAGAAATTTTTACTGCAATTCAAAGCAGCAATAAAAACAAACCCAAAGGAAAGAAAGACAAATACAATGAATATATTTTTTAAAAAAAGTATATAGAAATATTGATAAATTTAAATTCATTCAACAATCATAAGTCATAACAATTGACTAACCTACAACTTCTGACGTAGGAGAAAAAATCGTCTCAAATGAAACAGTTCGACTTCTTTCAAGTAATTTCTGCAATTTTTTGGCAAAATTTTTTGCGCGGTTCAATTATTCTATACGTTTGTATATGTTAACTTTTCAATCCCTGTTAACCATAACCATCATTATTAGAAGATTAAATAGGTTATTTAAAAACTGATTGTTTAGTTCGTGTTTCTATAGCCATTAATTCAACCAATCAGGACAAAACAGAGTTACAGTTATCTGATTGGTCAAGTTTAATTTTCAATTTTAATCCTCAACGAGTAATGCGATATTGGGCTTTAAGTTAAAAGGCGGGAAAATGATAAGGAAAGGGAAAATGTCTAAAAGTATATCTAACCTTTGTGTACGATGAATGTACAGTGACTAAAACGATAATAAAAAATTATTTTTTGTTAATTTATAGAATATAAATTATTTTTGTCGCCTTAATATAATTTCTTGAGCCCGTGTTTTTGTATTTTTTTTTTATTTGCAATTGTGTATTGTATATAATGGCTGACAAACAATGTGTACAGATGATACAAACAAATTTTTCATTATATGGTTTAGTATTGTCAAGGCAAGTATCCTGTTTTTTAAGTTAAGGATTTTCGATGAAAAGATGAAAATTTTTAATATTCATATAATAAACAGCTTATTTGTTTTTCATCTTAGAAGGTCTTTAAATAAATTATTAAAAGATAAATGGATATATAATTTTTACAATTTATACTCTTATTAATTTCTATTATATACATTTGCATGTTTATATATTTATGTAGTAATCTTTTTAATAAATTTTCGAAAATATGTGAGGAGGATGAACTTAACATTTACATAAATTTTCTGCAATGTGTTATTTTTACATATATTTACATATATTTATAATTACATCTATTTTAGGGAGCTCAGAGTATCCCTCGCAAAGCAATTAATAAAAATACCACAAGACGAACGTGAATCTTGGCTCAGTCGCATTATAGAATTGATCCTGGCACAAAACTTGAATGATCCACATGTTGAAGCCAAACATATAAAACTTGCTATAGAAGAATGCTTAGAGCCAAATAAATTAAAAGATACAGAAACAGTATTTAATGTTATAAACGGGTATGATATACCAAAAATAAAATATGACATTTCAAAAAAGAAGTTTATCATTGATAATGAAAACTTATATTCTGAAACACAATATAAATCGTTGGTTTTTAAACATCGTTTTGAAATGGCATGGTACAAAACTTTAAGGCATAAGCAATTTCTATCTTCTAAATTTGAAAAACAACAAACAGATAAAACGAATTTAATACCTATTGAATATTTATTGAGTGAGCTGAAAATGGGAAAAGTATGTGTAATGGGTCTGATAACGCAATTAATGGAGGATCAATATTATTTGGAAGATACAAGTGGTACTGTCAAAGTTGATTTTAGTGATACAATATCCTTTACAATATATTTAATGGATTTTAATATATTTTTATTTTTGCTTTAGAGAAACATAATTGTGAAATATAATTTCCAAAATATATGTTGATATTTTGTATATAAAATAGAAACATTTCTTATTTATTTCAAAATATATCAAAACGTTACAAATTTAGTAATATATTTTTCGATACTATTTTTAAATTTGCTTTTTTGTCTTTCTCTTCTCAGTTTAAGTGTAATAAGAATTCATGGTGAATTCATTTATTTTGAATTTTGAATGCTTCATTATAATTAGTCATTTTTTGATAACATTTTGAACCTTTAAAAAGCAGATTTTTCATTTATAAAATTTTTCTATAAAAATAACTTTTTTTTAAATTATATAATACATTTTTTTCAACAAATCATTACCATCTTTAAGACATAGCAATAGCAGCAAGTAAAATAGTCAGTGTATAAATATTTTCTTTATTTTATTTATAAGATTTTCAAGATACTTTCATCATGGAAGGCTGTATAGTGATAGCTAATGGTGTTTACAAGGATGATGTACTACATATAAAAAATATCAATCTTCCACCAATAGAGTCATCAGAAAGTTTACGATCAGATTTTGGTGATACAAATATATTTGGTGGGCCACATAATGTATCTTTAAAAATGTCAGAAAAGTTGCAAGTTCATCAAGAAAATAATCAAGATGGAATGATAGTATTCATAGCAGAATTATGGTTGGATATTCCAAACGTTTTACAAAAATTTAAAATGATATTGGAAGGTTACATGGATTATCCTCCTATAGCTTTTGTATTATGTGGTCATTTTTTAAGTTTCCCTGCAAATATAACGAGTGCACAAGTTTTAATAACGGGTTTCAAAAATTTAGTTGACATAATAATACAATATACAAATATAAAGAAATCTTCCAAATTTGTTTTTGTACCTGGTCCGCACGATTTAGGTTCTCCTAAAATTTTACCAAAACCTCCTTTACCCAAATGTATTATCGAAGAAGTCACTAAAATGATTCCAAATGCTATTTTTACCACAAATCCATGTAGAATACAGTACTGTACAAAGGAGATTGTGATATTAAGAGAAGATATGTTGACAAAAATGTGTAGGAACGCGCTTCGTTTTCCGAAAGAAGAAAATTTTTTTAAACATGTAAGTAGTTACGTTTATAAGCATTATATCAAAAGTGTAATACACATAACGTTAATATTTTTTCAAAAATTTCAGTTTGCCGAGACCATCATCAGCCAATCGCATTTAACCCCTGTGCCTCTTCAAGTCGTTCCAATATATTGGAAATATGACCACGCTCTACAGATATTTCCAACACCAGATCTCATTGTGATCGCTGACAATTTTGAAACATACACGACGAATCATTCTGATTGCTATGTGATAAATCCAGGAATGTTCTCAAAAAATAATTTTTCATTTCAAGCTTACGTACCTGCCATCAATCAAATTCAAGATTGCCAGCTTCCAAGTGACACCGACGTTGCTTAAGTTGATAGATTTTACGTGAAATATAAATTTTCTTGTATGTAGACAATTCGTAAAATTACTGGATGTTAAAAATTAATATAAATAAATCTTTTATCATTTTATAGATTTATTTCGCTTCGATAACAAAATCTTGTTTATTTTTACAATACTTTGAAAACGTGGCGATAATGAGTCACTTAAATTGTAATTTTTAACATTGTATAAACATGAAACAAGTTAAATTAAGCCCAAAGGACAAAAATAATTTAATCACACAAAAAGGACTTTTGAATGATATTTTACAACTAATACTCTGTGTCCAACGATACAACGAGAAATGTCAAGAAGTTAGTGATAATTTTATTTTATATAGGATGGAATATTTATATTATAAACAAAATATCTCTTTTTTAATCATTTTTCATGCGTCTCTCTCATATCTGCTCTAGATCGGGATCTAACCCGATAGGATTTTGTATCAGACGTTTCGAATAGGACACAGATGGTACGCGCGTGCTTATTTTTTTCCTATTAATTCATATAAATAGATACATATAATATTAAACACAGTGTTTCTACCATTTTGCAATATACATAACATTATACAGGTACAAACTGGGCCCCGATTTATTTCAATTCATCGCATTGGAAGCATAAGTCAATTACTGGCCGTAAAAAACCAAACGTGATCTTTATGTAAGCGTAAAAAGTTGTTACATGTGTAACAAAAATGTTCAATCGTAACATTACAACATGGGATAATACTAACATTACACTTTGTGTGAGCAATATAATTTTATCTTTTAGCAACTAATCGCTTTGATATTGCTAAAAAAAATGACGCATAGAGACAGATGTTATATACACATTTTCGTGAAATCAAGGTATGTTAATTGCAAATTCCTGGAAGAATTTTTTTTATACATTATGTACTATAATGTTTTACTTAAAATATTTCAAATGCAACATGCTGTAAAGATTGTTAATACTTTATATAACGGAAGTTAATGATCGACACAAGTGTAAGTTTTCTTTAAAATATATAGGAAGCAAGTTTGATATTTTAAATATTGGGTTACAAAGTGCGAACACATAGAATCTCAGGAATCAAAATAAAGGATTTTTATATATACATATATGTATATATATATATATATATATATATATATATATATATATATATATATATATATATAAATGTAAATGCAACAACTACACACAAACTTATCACATATATTACAGTTGAGATATCTGTAAAAAAAAGTCGCTCTTACGTCTATTGCACTTTCTTGCAAACACGCATTGTCTTCGGTAATTTTCTTCGTTATTCAATTCCTCCTGCAAGAATTATCATAATAATACATAATAATACATAATAATACATAATATTTTATGTACAAATGTAACTTCAGTCCAATCGGACGGCGTAGTAGTTCTTCACACTCTATGTCTCACGAACTATTCTTCGTATGTAGTTCTCCTAAAAAAAATTATGATTCAAGTTATATCAATTTATAAACAGTGTTATAATTCATGAGATATGCAAATGCAAAGAATCACTATCTTATTAATTAAAATCATAATTCTCATTTTTATAATTAATATAGATGAATAATTTAAAGCAAAAATGCTTTCATTTCATTTTTATTTAACGCGAATTAATTTCGTTATAATCATTTGATATTTTATGCAAAAATTATTAATTGTATGAGAAAAATAAAAGAAATGTAAATAAAATACTCAATGTAATAATTTACAAACTTTCTCTTTGATATCTTCGGCAAGCCTGATTTCTTTCTTCGGCATCGAAATACCAAAGCGTAATAGCATATCTCGTCTTGAACGCTGGTTGCACTTCGTGTGGATTTCTTCTGTCTGACCAAAAGAATAATATCCTGTCGAATAAAGGTTCTATGTTTGCTACTTGATCGCGCCAGCCTTCAGGAAATATCCTTAAAAGTCCACCATTTTCCTGCATAGAAAATATACATTACAAATTTTATCATTATACGTTTATTCGTAATATTGAACTTTATATTATTTCTTTGTTTCAAAAAAGACATTACATCTGTAAGATCTAATTAATATTCCTAATGCAAAAAATGATGATTGATTATAATTATGTTAATAATTACTATCTACTTTATAATACACAAAGATTCATAACTACTTGAGATATTATGAAACTTTTAAAAATAAGCAAAGTTATTTCTCTCTGATAATGACACATGTATAAGTATGCGCGCGTTCTTTCCTTAAACATGATTGCACCTGTGTATCGTGACGTGATTAGAGATATATATCAATATATACATATATATATATATATATATATATATATATATATATAAAAATTTCACCTTGACATCCCAATCTCGATTGAGATAATAAATGGCTGTGATACAACGCCCGTCTCGGTTAGGATTATCCACGTGTTTCACATAATGCGAACCGTGACCAGGATAACAAGCTACCATCGCCTGAAATATGGAGAAAAATAAATCTTATATTAAAAGAGAGAATTATATAATCGAAAGGTTGCTATACAACATAACTAATTCCACAAATATCTCAAATTTCGAAAATACTCGATTATTGGAGTATCTTATCACAATTTGGTTTCACGCAATACGGAAAAAATGGTATGTTACTAATTTATATAATAAAAACAAAGGGGGCAATGAGAAAGGCGCGGCAAGAAGTGCGCAATTAATTATATAATTTTTTTATTCAAAGAATCTTCAAACGTTTCGGCTCAAGTTTGAGCCACCTTCAGTGAAAACAAATGGTCAAGACTGCACTCTAATGTGATAAGGTAAATGGTGTGTCACCTATATTATTGAATATGAACAATTTCGAAGGATATTAATTATAACAGAATATTAATTGAAACATATACCGAAAAGAAAATTATTAATTTTTTTGTTTCCAATGCTATATATGTATAACATAGCCGCAATGAAAGATTTATAAACATATCCATGTTATTTCTCTTTCATTTTAAAAAGTATATAAATATTTTTTCTGTTATGTTTATATCCTATTACGACAAATATTTATATTTCTAGAATATTTATATATTTCTTTCTCTTTAGAAAGATGATAAATACTATATATCTAGATGATAAATACTATATTATCTAGAAATATGCATATTCGCATAGAATACTAAATGATTTCAAAGCATGAACTGTATGTCATATAAAAATATAATATAAAAAAGATAGAAATGCTTATTTAAATAAAAAAAGGAGGAATATACAGATAATTCCGAACGACCAACTGATGATCACTAACATTGTCATATTTAAATATAAAATTGAAATATTTATAATACTTGTTTCACAGACAAAAAAATTACAAAAAAAATATTAAACTACTAGAATTAAAAACTTCAAATACTTTATTACAAGTTAAGGGAAAAATAGCAATTTTCATATATTACATGTACTTTAACAAAGCGGCAATATAATGGAAAAGAAGCAGGAAACATTGCGTATTTGCAATACGCCTAGTATATCGTATATCTATTGTGTGTCATATCGCTTGAACACAATAGGTATGTAATGGTCATTAACAAACAAAATATTTCACATCTCTTTTTATCTTGCCAGATTATCAAGTGATATACCGTATTATGCTTACGACGCAATAATCGATTAGCTCAATTCACATTGCAAGTATATTGCTTTACGTGCGTATTCTCACGTTTTCTGATAACAAAGTCTGCTTATTGCTAATAAACTGACGATAATGTCACAAGAATTTTCATTTTTTCATCTTAACTTTTCCAGTTACTAGACAAGAATATTCTTTTCTAAACACATTTGTAAAACTAATAATAACTAACGGATTCTTTAATCAATTTTGAGTTGAAAGGATCCTTTTGAAAAAAAAAGGTATATTTGGGGAAGGGCGATCTTAATTACAATATATGCGTTACTTAATGATTTATAAATTAGAAAAATGAAAAATATTTCATTCATGCTACGATTAGTGCTAAGATTAGATAGAAAATATTTTATTTATATTAAAATTAGTGCTAAGATTAGATAGAGGTTTAAATATTTTCGCTTTTAAAAACATAAACTATTAATTGAAATGTCCTTGAGATATTTCAATTTCGTCGTACGATATGTGAACAAGAGATGTGTAATTAAAAACATATTTTATGGACATTTTTCTTCAAAGCTCAATGTATTACGTCAATAAATATCATGTGTAATTTATTCAGTAAAAGAAACGAATGAAACGTTGAATAATATTCAACTTATTCGTTTTTTATTCGTTTCTTTATTCATCTGTTATTCGGATAAGATTTTGCCCATTTCCGATTTAAAAATGCTCAACATGTCTACAGATGGATTAACATATTTCAGACATATGTATTATTGTAAATATCGGTGCACTCACGTAAGTTACAGCAGAGCTGCAAAAAATGACAGCGTATATAAAATGAGATATTTAATAAACTGAATGAGTTAACATACAATACATACGATACAAATGATATACGTATCCTTGTTTCATTATGAGTAATCGGATATCTAACTAAAAATAGACACTTTGATAAATCATACGAAAGGAGACAATGATAGTGATCACAAATTGAACAATTATTACACAGATACCAGTTTATCAAACTGGTACCTGTGTAAAACAATCGCGAACAATAAGAGAAATATCCTGAATCTGTTTACAAAATAAGAAATAATATTTGTAAGATTCAATGACAATTGTATTCATTTACAGAAAAGACATGGCGCTATCGTAGAAACATAAAAATTTCATGTAATATAACAGGATGTTCTGTATATGTATATATCACATAATTGCTTCGTGCAATTATTCTTTTAGCGAAAATGATCTTTCTTTCGCATTATATTGTATTTCAATTTCCATTTATTGAAAAATTGAAACTCTTGCTAATTTTTCAAAAGATACATAGCCAAAACATATAACTTTACTATAAGAAATTTTATTTATACTTTAATTTGATGTATCCTCGAGTATACATTTTCTCAATTATTTACTATACTATATATATATATATATATAATAAAGCCTATATTTTGTTATATTGAAGTGACCGAACGTAAAAATTGTATCGCTACGTTCCTTCCTATACTAATAATAATAAACAAGAGCTCAATCGTAGTTTGAGGAACTTCAGTCAACTGGCAACTTTTTCGAATCTTTATCGAAAGAAATGGTATTAAACGCCAGTGCGATCGAGCAGCTGGCGAGAGTTTGGATAGCGTGAAGTGGTGTGAAGCGAATGTGCTGCGTCGCAACATATCGGTGAGAGAGAGAGAGAGAGAAGAGAAAGAGAGTGGGAGTCGCGCGGCGTACGTGACTGACTGCACTTCGCGCGATCTCGCGTTTCCCACTCTCCTCCTCCTCCTTCTCCTCCTCCTCCTTTTTTCGGCGTATAATATTCCCTCGCGGTACTTCACATTTTTGGAATCCCGACCTTGTCTGTCGCGTTCACCTCGGTGTTTTCATTCGCGCGCGATCGAAAATCTTGTAGTATCTCTCGCGTCCACATTTCCCCCGTCCTGTGTAAACGATAATTAGACACAGAGAGACGGCGGCGAAACGAGTATCAAGGAGAAAGTTACATTCTGTAAATGAAACTTGTCATCTCACGTGGCCGTTAAATATACACACCTATCTTACGTTGCTATTTGTACGTTTGTTTAAAACAAACGAGAAAACACACGATGTAGCAAGTACTATTGTACTCATCAAATTGTAACGATTAAAAGTTCAACAACTTTAAGTAGCTATGCCTCTTGAATTAAGATAAGTCGTCAAGTTCCTTACTATTTTTTACAATAATTAAGATTACGTATAAAATGACCTCAGTAAAGACTTACTTTTGTTCTTCCATTGATAGTATAGTTTCCTATTTTGCCGTTATTGTGCATCTTATTGGCTCTCATGATGATTGCATCGACCCGTGATATCAGCGTGCCAATATTTTCACACTGTTCTTCCTTTCCATCCAGCCATATTATCTGATCGCCTCGTATCGTCTTTAAATCGTTTGCACTAGCTTTATTAGAAACCAATTGTCCGTCTTGAAACAACCCGGCACTGTACATATTTAAAACTTCATTTAGCACTTTGAGACCGTTCTCCATGCCTAAAAACTTGTCCACCACGCATACGCCATACATGTCCATGTCTCTTATCACATATTGACAAATTTTGTCTATAAACTCTTCGAGATTATTTCTATTCCTATGTAGAAAAGGAGGCAAAAGTTCTTCTTCCTGATCCTGTATCTCCGAGAAGTTCTTCATACCGTTGTGACGTTGAACGGGCGAGCCAAGATCCGCGTTGCTTAAATTCAAATCAGAAATTCTTGAACTCTCTAAAATCGGATTCAGAAGCTCGGCTCGAGCTCCTAGTATAGTGTCCTCGGAACTTCCCTCGTACGTTATAGGCGACGTCCAGCCATCGGCCTTATTATTCCGCACACTCCTGGTACTTCCGTTATTTGATTTCTTCTTAAGCTTCTGATTTAACTTCTCTTTCCGCTTTTGTTGACTCGATACGCCTTTTTCTCCTTGCGCAGCAGGGAAATCTGCAATCAAATCAAACGAATCAGAACCGTCAATTTGATCAAGATTTAACACGGATAATTACAAAGTGCAGTGATAAAACGTCGCTTTCGCTTGAAAGCCGTCGTTTGCGGCTGCAGCATTTAATACGATACAAACGCGCAATCGGTATAGAGTTTGCTATTTATATCGCAATGTTATCGGCAATGAGACTCCCATTGTTATTAACGCGTCCTATTGCGCGTAAAATCCGCGCTTGAGACGAGGACATGCGCCGCGCGCGCGAAAGTGAGAGCGAAGCCGTTCGCGCGTACCTGCCGAATGTTTCGCGTTCCGACACGGCTCCGAAGTGACGTTCGAGTGCTCCCACGATGCGTCCGAGACCGAGGAGGTACCGTTTAGGTTATGAATCAGTGCGTTCGAGGCTCGATGGTGATTGCCGACGGCGGAGGGATGCCGCTTGGACGGGATCTCGCCGCTCGATTTCCTGTTCGCGGCGACGGAAATCGGTTCCTCCGCGGACGCGGTGACCGCGGGATGTGTCGCGCAGAACTCCCGGTGACGTTTCCAATCGCGTCTCTGGTGCTCCTTCGTACAGTAGAACACGGCCTTGCAGCGCGAGCACCTCGACAGTTTGTCACTCTCGTTGCAGTACGCGCAAGTCACTTGTGCACCCGTCTGCACCGGGCCGTCGCCGTGTGTCTGCGTGCGATCGACTATGGGTCCGGACATGTTTCAAAACGTTTACTCGAACGCCGCTGCGGCGAGTGCCGATACGACACACGACATTTCTTCGACGAGGAAAGTCACCCGCACTCGCGCGCGCCGCCCGTCGCTCCCGCTGTCTCCTCGAGTCTCTCTCGATCCGATTCGCTACGCACTCGCTCGCTCGCGCTCGTCGGCGTTCGTCAGTATTCGTCAGTAACCGTCGGTCTCCTCGCAAAACTCATTTCGATTTGTGTTTGTGTTGTTTGTGTCGCACGTTGCGCCGCACTGATCGCACTGATAGAGACCCTCTAATAGGAGTTACAAAACAGCCATTTTTCATTGTTCGTTTCATTTTTTAACAATCCCGCCGATATTCGAATGCCTATATTCATGTTATTTTTAATTTAAACATTACAATTAGGAAATAAAGCTATTTTAAAGATATAAACGAATAAATTTTTAAAAGTATTAATAAATAGATTTTTTTTAAATATCACGTCCAAATAATGCACAACTAATAAAATTGTTCATATTTTCTTTATCAAAATTATTTTTTGAAATTCAGGTATATGGAAAAAAAATAATTTTTTTATTTTTAACATTTATTTCAAAATACATTAAATAGCATAGCTATAGTCTTAGAGTTATATTTTTTTACATTTTGTCGTAGCATTTCTTTTATGAAAAGTTTTTTAAATTAAATACGATAAACTTTGTAACAATTTTTGTATGTAATTTGTGACACTCTAAGATATCTAACTATTTTTTAATAATTTTTGTCCCATACATATACACTCGCGTGCGCGTGCGCATATGTGCACCTTGAGTGAATAAAACTAGACACCCTACATAGAAAGAGAAGTCTCTAACTGGAGTTTTTGTTTCTTATATCGTGACTTTTATTAGAGGGTTTTTAGCGCTGGCAACTGTCAGAGTTCCTGAAGTAAATTCTCCGGAATAAAAAAAAAAACGGCATCTCGCTTTAGTGTAAAAAATGTTAGGGAATGCAAGTAACGTAGACAATTGATGTGCTCGGCGCATCCAATTGTATGTACATATCTAGTGATTTTAAAATCCCAAGGCTGTGTATATATATAGAAAATGAACCGAGTATCTTCTTTGATAAGATATGCAATTTTTCCTGTTTGAGGTTACCTATTAAATTTCACATGTAATTATAGCTTTGAGTACAAAAATTCATAATAGAATTAACTATATTAACAAAATTTCTAGTAATCGTATTAAACGATTAGTACGATTGCAATATGGTAAGTTTTAACCTGTTAACCTCGTTAATCGAGTGAAAATTATGCAGAAACATACAGTTTTTATTGAGAAAAACTATCTTTTTGCTAATCAAAATCTTGTACGTCTTAACAATGCAATACTTTTTCGAAATTAGTGTTTATACAATTATCATTAAAGCCAAGCCAATAGCACTTATATTAAAATTATATATTAGATAAGTCAAAACCAGTGATTCATATTTTATTTTTTCTACATCTTTTTTTTACAGGCAACGTTGAGTCATGACATTCAATTACCAAATAATATTCCAAAATTGTTAAAGGAGAAACATGCAAACTATTTAATTTCGTATGGGACCAACAAAGATGAATATGTATAATATTTTTTAATACTTTTCGTTATTTTAATTTTATTAGTAATTTGTGACAAAGATATATCTATAATTATAGATGTATTATAGATTTTTAGATATATAGATATATTATAAATTAAATATTTTGTAGAACTTCTCTCAAACTGAACACATGAGGATGTCTGGCATGTATTGGGGTCTTACCGCTCTAGATTTGATGGGAAAGTTAGACCAAACCAATAAGGAAGAAGTGTTGGAATTTATTGGACAATGTCAAACTGACAGTGGTGGCATTGCTGCCAGTATACAACATGATCCACATTTACTTTATACTCTTAGTGCTGTTCAAATATTATGTATATATGATGCATTGGATGTAATAAATGTTGACAAAGTTGTAAATTATGTCAAAGAGAGACAACAGGTAGATGGAAGTTTTATGGGTGATCAATGGGGTGAGGTGGATGTCAGATTTTCATTCTGTGCTGTCG